CTGTTTAAGATAAATACGGCTTTTAAATACTAAACAGTGTTAGATGTTTACAGTATTTCTTGTTTAGTCTTCGGTTCATTGAATAGGACTTTCCTCTGAGATTGTCTGCTGAAGAAGAAAGTTCATAAAAAGTTTATTAACATCTTGAGGGCTCTGTATCCAAATAACTCAGACAGTGGACGTATCCAACCACCTCACTACATTTTAATCCACATTTAATATAGGATGGGTTGATAGATCGCATCACTCCTTTTCAATTTTACTACCGATAATATTCTGAAAATAACTCTTAGGGAAGCGCACAATGGTTTTGGTGTAGATCTGTCACCTGGAGAAAGACTTTGGGATCTTGTGTACGCAGATGACATTGTCTCACTGTACAATAATATGCTAGTTATGCAGTCGGCATATACTTTATATTTTCTAAGTGCAAAAGAATTTTGCAAACTGTCAGAAGCCTGTGTTCCCACTTACTCTTTGTGGTGATCCGTTAAAAATAGTTAAAAACTCATATATTTGGTTAGTTATATTAGTGCTGGTGGTAGCATGTCAGTGAAAAAGTCATAGTTAAATATACTAACCTAGACTATCCTAAGGGCCGTTATGATTTTAGTCTGCCTGTAAAAGGTCTGCTCTTGAAACACTGACTTCGGTGACTTGGTCGTGTTACATGAGTGTCTTCCCTGAGGCTCCTACATCGCGCATCGCTTTCGGACGCTGGGGCTAAATAAAAAAACCTAGGCGTTGTCAGCTTATGACACGGTGCCATATTATGAAAGATAACTGCACTAGACAGGCTCCTCTTGATCCATGACAACTTCACGGTCTAGTCACCAGAGGTCGTGCAACTCCTTTGCTTAAGAAATAAGCAAATATGACCCAGCATAGGTACCAGTGGCCATCATGTTACAGTTTCACCATGTTTTTTATAAGATTGAGGTGGACTTCCTCATCTGGAAGAAGCATTACTTAACTATCACCTTAACTAAACAGTACATTTTACCAAATGCTGCTTTTTTTCATTTATTTATTGTATTCTTATTCCCTCTATTTCTTCGTAATGTCACTTCATCCTGGTGGCGCACTTTCTGGCTACTTTATTGTACCAGAACGTTTTAAGTAAATAAATAACTCCGCTGTTCTGTGTAAAGTAATATTGGGCCAAGTAAAATATTATAAAGTGGTTGCTTAATGGTTAAGACGTTCAAATTTTGATCACAAAGACCCAGGTTCAAACTCCGCCCTTTCTACCACTGTTCGAGTAATCGGGTAGTATCGTTAGCTATCATACTTCGTCTGAAGATCATAATTAATTACGTGGTGGATGAGTTGGTCTAATTTTAACTACGAAGCCATTGGTTGTTGACCTAATTCATGTTTATAATCTGGAGCTTCTTACATATTCTTGCTATTTATAATTGTGACATCTCGAACCGGCGTTAGATTATACAAAATCACAGATTATTTTGACAACCTCCAAAACTATTCTTTGTTTACTTTTGTTTGATCATCCCCATTTCCGTTTACTTTGTCTTCTGTCATTCGACATATTATTCAGTCGAATCCCAACACTATCAAAGTTCTTTATGTAGTCCAGCTTGTCTATAATATCACCTAATTCAAGCATTTTCCAACTCATCATGTCTCCAGAGATAGGGTTGAGAGGTCCCTAGAGATTTTGCAACTCAGTCATTGCAGATGTTATTAAAATTAGATCAGAAGAAGACCCAGCAATACTACTTCTGTAACGCTTTAATTGTCTAGTTATTAAAATAATACAAACTGTTTGTATTATGTAACTTACCCTGTTTCATTTGAAAGAAACCTGTCACTATGGTGTCTGGGCAAGTTAAGTTGTTTTGTAACGACAGGGTATAGAACCAAATGTTCTGCAGCTATGAGTTGATAAGCATGCTACGTCGAGAAGACAAATATTGTTTCCCAAGCTGTCACTTAAGCTAATCAATGTAGGGCTAGCACTCCCACAGGCGATTGGCTAGGGATACACTGGATGTTGCGGAATTTTTTGAAACGATGACCTAACCATTTATCTGAACACATAAATATTGATGCAAGGAGGCACCGTATACATATGCGCCACACTCAACCACTAAGTCCCACATACGATCCTCGCTTCACCTACTTTGGCATGGGTGACCAGGTAGTATTACTAACTTTTACACTCAGAGTGTGGCTCATACCCAGTCACCTGGTGAATGAGTCAATTAAATCATACCAAACTCACACAAACTATGTAAAATAAAGCCGAATACATAAACCTGTACTTGGTAAAACAGCTATATTGAAAACCCTAAAGTTCTTTAAATTTAAATAATTTCATATCAAAAATGGTCATTCATATTTAACAGAAACATTTTAAAACCATAGTTTCGATCTGTTTCCAAATATCCTCTGAAAACAACTCTCCTACATTATCATATTAATTGTTGTCGCTTAAACAGTTAACTCTTTCATATTTAGAGTTTACTGTCCAACATGGAATTTGATTGGAATCTTGACATTTTTAATACAGCAGTATTTTATACCAGCTAAAAAATTTCCCCAATACTATGTTCAGATTTACAATGAATCTAAAGTTGGTGAATTTCCATCGTTGCTGTATGGGACTACAGTAAACATTATCAACTTCCTTAAGCATTTAATTGAAAAAGGAGAGATTTCTTCTAGGAATTCATCTCGTCTGTTGGAACAGTGCCGAAATTACACTCCAGAAGCGTCAATTGTGAACTATTATCGAACAAAAACAACCATGGGCTTCCATTCTGATGATGCAGAAATAGATAAGGAAGCTCCTTTGGTTTCGATTAGGTAAGTGTAGAAGTACTTCAGTATGTTTAGCAATTTTAGATTGGATAGGTGTGTTTCGTGTGCTATATAATTGTTGGCTCCTATTAGACTATCAGAAATATATTTTAAGACTAGGCAGGACGAACTCCCTCCCCACAGCAGCTCTGTCAACTTGGTGATACAAATTTTAAAAAAATGAAATCATACATCTTTGGTGCATATTAATAAGAGTTGTTTTGAAATCATCCCTTGATAATGGGAGAAGGTCAGTGTGTTCATGCATAATTTGTATGGTTTCTGCCAGTAAGATTGTGTTAAACAATAATGACATCAAACTAAACTATAAATTGATCAGTAAAGTTAATATTTTACTAGCGCTTGAGCAAATTGAAATGTCTTTCATGCTGCAGGCAACTGACTTTAACCGAATCGGTTCTAACTGTTCTACTAACCAACAGGCGAATATATTAAGCTAACAACTAAACACTGACAATACCAAAAGAAAATTTACAGTCGACTTTGTTTCAAATTCATGTGTATCATACCAACGACTTTTCTTAAGGTTTCGTTATACCTCTCGCTTGTTCGTCTTGTGTGAATTTCACCTAGTATCGTAGACCATTGTAACTTTTTACTCGAACTGTTAGTCAGCTGTCAACAATACGCTTGCTCTCGAATAACTTGACAGTACGTTTGATTTTTCAAAATTAGTTTACAACATGGATGAACTTTAGCTAGACAATCAAGAAGTACTAAACAACTGTCCTTTCCTAGCACGAGACCGAGCAGTGTTCACATAGAGTTGTTAGAGATAGGACCGTAAAAGTTCCAGCTGTACGTAGTCTTTAGACTGCTAACCATGTATTAAACAGTACATATCTCTAGTTCCAGGAAAGTAGGAAAATACTAGATCCATTTAGTCTCCGTAATGCCTAATTAAGTTGGGAGATTCGCTCATTCTTAGGATGCCAAATTTTGGATACAGGATTACGTGGGAAAATCTGTTTATCCCAAAAGCACACTATTATTCCGGGATAGTATAGTTCCAAAATAACTTTCACTCCGTTCAATATTTTGATAACTTATTCTTCAATATGAGATGTGTGTCAAAGTTGATCCTTTTTACCGCTGGTTGTTTGCTTATCGATTCAGTTATATGCAGTGAGGCGCATCATAGTATTGGATAGAAACTACCATTAAAATGGCCATATCTTCATGATTGCTAACATTCTCATTAGATAGGTATTATTACCCTGGTTTGGCTTGATAATTTCCAATAAATTTAGCATCGGGTATATTGTTACAAATATATTATTTATTTATTCTCATTAGATGCATTATTACTTCTCATTCAGTCAGAGCACAGATCATAGTTGAAGCTCTTATCTAAAAATTAAGTGTTGTGTAGAGGACTTTCTGGGTTATCCATTTTTATAATCGTTGTTTGAGGTAAATACTTATGAAGCTACCTGAACGATTGCTTCTGTAAACATCTGTCTTTCAAAGAACAATCACGTTTATTGTTACCTTTTTCAGCGTTGGACCCACTGCATTATTCTTATTAGAAACATCAGAAGCCATCAAGCATGAATTCGACGTTTCATTGCATGGGAGTTTTAACCGGACAGTTGACTATGACCACGTACTACCGATTTACCTTTGTCATGGTGATGTAGTAATAATGGCTGGTAAAAGTCGTCTGGCTCGTCATGCAGTCCCAGTAATTTTCTTCGATGATGATACAGAGGTTGTGTCGAAAGGAGCTCTTCGTGTTAGTCATGATATTTGTGAAAAAAAATTAAAGCAAGATCATAATGATGATGCTTGTACACACTGCCAAGAGTGTCTGACATATATTAGGACTACACGTATAAATATGAATATACGCCAAGTAATGCCTGTTCATAGATAACGCGAATGTTGATATTGTTTTATTTTTCAATTATTCAGTAAATTTTACTATACGATACATTTTTAGTACTACAATAAATACCTTGTCTTTCGAAAAGCGTCAACTACTTCTTAAATCTAGTCTAGCGATTCTGTATCGTTATTTATTTTATGCTGTGTTTCAAGAGATTACGAGTTCACCTAATCTGCGAACGGGACGAAAACTCAGTTTCACAACGACCAAATAAGTTAACTATTCCGATGCATCCCAGTCTCGCTAACTAAAGAGAGGATTCCAGGTTCAGAAGAGGGGAATGTATTTCACAAGCAATCAGAAGCCCGAACAACAAGCACAACTTAAACGCATATATACAGCATAAAAAATATCCTTGGGAAACGTTACAAAATAGCATATGAAGAGAGACAACGAACCAGTGTGAGAAATGAAAATGGAGTGAGCGCTTTTGGCGTGAAAAAACTCAAATTACAAAAATAAGATATTTACCTCGAGTTCTAGAGATCTAACATCGCCAACATTTTATTAACCCACCGCTTTAATAAACATACTTTTGCGACAAAATGTGTTCTTTGAAATGAATCTCACACATTTTACGGTTTATTTTCTTAGCGTCACTGTCCATATGCAGTGTTTACTCCAATTCATATCTATTCGATATTAGGTTTGAATGTAAGCTTATCTACACATAATTATAATAAACTGTGATATAACCTACTTAGTATTATTTTATAGTGCGTGCTGAACTTCTTATGCTTATCAATTGCAAATAGGTTTGGTCGGCTGTTTATATCCAAAACCTTTACTACAAATCATATAGTTTGGGATAACTTAGTACAAGTATGCAAAATATTACATTGAGGAATTACCAAGACAGAAATAAAATGTGTAAATTTTAATAGTATTATTGTACAGTTTCTGATTAATATACAAGATAAATTACACGACTAAAAAATCGGCTCCGAAAAATAATCCCAAAACTTAATGAGTATTATACTCGAAAATAAGGACCATTTGTGGTACGGCTTAGCATAGCCTCATTCTGTATTCTTGATGATGCTTCCGGGGCTAAACGATTTAATAACGGACGAATGGATGGTTCAAGTGCGATTATAGCTCCTGAAATAATAGACAATAAGTGAAATGTGACTAGATAAAAAGTTGTTGCACGAATGGGATTACGTCCGAAATCATAGTTTTATACGATCATTTAGCAGTGCGATGTATTTTATTTATTACATTTAAAAGTCTTTTGATATTATATGTTAACTAGACAGTTGTTTTTCAACTGATTTAGGACAGCTTACACTAGATGATCTTTGGGCAAGGATTGTGAAGCTTTTGGGACACAGTTACAACTTGTATAGATAACTCAACAAGTAACAAACGGATGTCACGTCTTGTTTAGATCATCACCCGTCTAACATAAACCCAGTAATCTAGGTGGTATATTCTGACATTATGGTACCAAAACTCAACTTATTTACTCTGCTTAGATAGAGTACAAAGACGAAGCCTTTGTACTAGCCGAATACTACCGATACCTCGGGAGATATAGGTAACCAAACATCCTCTATCTATCTTTATTACTCTAGTTCCATCACAAAACATTGCGTTGTACTTTTAGTTATCGACAGCCCTGTTGATATCAATCGACATTCATATTTACACCTAGATCGCTTCAGTAGCTGGCACAAGAGAGATAATAGTGAAGTCTAGTTTGTTAGACATAAATAACATCCTAAAGGCCCCCAAGTGCCCTGGAGCGACTACGCGTGGGGAAAGCCAGCTCTCACATAGCCACGCATATACAGCCACTACTAGGGGAGTCCTACTCACTGCCTTTTCTCAACGGTGCTGTTGACCAAATCAAGAGGATCAAAATTGGATGTCCGGTGCTTTAACCGGGTTGGTGGACACGGAGGTTTTATCTCTGGGAGTTGGTAAACTCTGATTCCAAACCAATGGTTCACATGGACTCCAGGATTCTAAGATAGTGAATGGCATATGAACCAATCGTTGATCACTGGCTACCATGGGACTGCACCTCCTAACGTTGCTCTACTGCGTTGTTTATGATATCTTTAGGTCAAAGGCTTTGGGTGTGGTCCCTTAAAAAGACCCACCTTCGGTTTGAGCATCCAGGCAGTATCACAGCCCTCACACAAATCAATGATAACTACTACTGGTCTTATTGTTATTGTGTGGCACATATGCATTTGGTGCCCTTTTGTACCAATGTTTATGTTGAAATAAATAAGTGACAACCTAATAATGAGTCATGTGAGATAGAACCTTTTAGCATAGTTACCGTCATTTGAGGTATTACCAAATGTAATATAATTATTAAGTAGACTTAACTGGTGTCATGTGTAGATAAGGGATTAAATTCTATAAATGAGATGGCTGGAATATGCTAACCCAACCTGTTCCTGTTTATTGGAATGGGTTCAAGTTGGGTGAGGTATGAAAGGTGAGCAGATCGAGACTTACTACTAACGTTGAGACTGTTAGTATGGACTGCGTAGACTATAGCGTTTCTTGGTGAGAGTACAAGTGGTATGGTATTTCAGTGTTTGCGGACAACGGATTCCGTGGTTCAAAATTAGTCAAGACGATGCAAATGTTTAACCCTTTTTTAGCATATAGTAATGCCGTCCTCAATATGCTTATTACGTTGTTATCGATCCTAAGCCACTCCTCGTTTGTAGTTTCTTTCAATCTTAATGTTATTAAATGCCAATACTTCTTCATATGACTCGTTAAATAAACATTAAGCATCATTTTACTTTATTGTAAACCCACCTATATTGCATTCACTGGAGCCAACAACCGTCAGAAATAATGGTAAAGCTGATTGGCATGTAAAATGAAACTGGCAGATCTAAAAATCGGGAAGTATTGATTACATACCAGCAAACGGGACATGCTAGACTATTAAAGTTGCGGTATTATTTTTTAACATGGGCTAATTAGTGTAGCAGTCTTGTCTTAACGAGGTTATGCAAATGTGGATTACAACATAGTTCAATGGTCCCAGTAATTAGTGCGTTACACTGTGACAGTATGCGTGAGCATGCTTGCAACCGGTTAGGTAACCAGGATGTTATTTCTCAATGTGCAGTGGACAAAACACATGCACACGTTATCGTTAATTGATGTCTAGCAATAAATACATACTTTAGTGATGAAGTGGCTTTGCAGTCTAACTAACAAAACTTTATTATATTATGAGTGACCACCACTTACTGATATGCCTCTGATTTTATACCTAACTTCACTTGATTTAAGCAGGTGGGCAGCAGGGTTGTTGTACGACAAGGCTTAAAGTCAAACAATTTGGGGATGCAATCAGGTAAAACAACTATCGTTTTTCAAAAGATTTATATCCTTTGAATTGGGCTCCCAAAGAATAGCTCGGCCCTAACAAAAAGCTATGATTTTGTGTGGTGCATACTATTGTGATCCCGTTGTATCAGATTCTCCATCAGCCAAACTATGTATATATCCTTCATACACACTTTGACAAGATCTTTATATGTGGTTAGGGTGACGCAACACACATCCTAGATACACATATACGCATTACATGAAACCACCAAACCGGGTCTAATTGAATAGCAAAGTTTTTCCAGTAGACATACCACCATCTCTTGATAACTAGTGATCATCCATTCTAAGTCTCCAAGATCTAGTTTGTTTACTTGTTGTAATGATACGATAAAAGCAGCAGTAACATATGGTGAGCGTGCTTGATCAGGCATATCATCCATTGTGGCTAGGACATAACATTGGTGATAAAATTAAGTTTACCACTTGCAACAACGACTCCGTCTTTATCCGCAACAAAGATACCGAGGATCCCATCAACTCTATTTATATGGTCAAATAAACAAAAAACTCACTCAGACAGAAACCTTTTAAGATAGTCACAGGCAGACTATTGGATTAAATTGGAAGAGAGTTATTAACTAACCTCAGACATCCGCGACGTTAAAATCAATTTCTGTTGTTTTCAGCGGTGAGAGATACTGCGGCCGAGTTATGTTTAGAACTTCATAGACACTGGGATGTACCGCGCAACCTGTAATTCGCGCTATTCAAATGGTTGTGGACGGAATAGAAGAAGCTTTCGCTTAACAGGCTTCCGTGTCTAGTGGCAGGGGATCACCAAATCCTCCAGGCAGGAACCTAGGTATGTTAACAATAAAAAAGGAAAAGAAATTGGTAAATCATAATGTGATGCTGTTCTTGGTCCTTAAGAATAGGTCAAGTTGCCTCTTGAAGGACTCCTGAGAAGTCGCTTGGACTAGCTCGGCCGGCAGCGAATTCCAGCTTTTGACAACTCTTAAGAAGTAAAAGTTGTGTCTACATTCCGTCTTGCTATGTTGTGTTTCCAGTTTCTGGGTGTTACCCCTTAGGTTATTATTCGAACTAAGCTTAAGTAGGTGTTTAAGAGGATGTCCAGAAGTGTTAAGAATACTATAAGCCATTAGTAAACCACCTCTAAGACGCCTATATTCTAGTGGGTAAAGGTCTAGTGAACGGAGGCGTTCTTCGTAAGGCTTAGATTTGAGTCCTCGAACTGATTTCGTGGCTCGCCGTTGGATACGTTCCAAAGTGACCTTGTTCTTTTGGAGTGAGGGGGGAGTACTATGTTTCCGTACTCTAAATGGGGATGGATGAAACTATTGAAGATTGTATGGAAAGTTCGTCCGTCAAACTGTCCAAAAATGCGCTACAACGTTACCAGTGCAAGGTTTGCTCGGTAGGCATTTTTGTCACAGTTAGCGTAAGACTTTAAGTCATGGGGCACCAGGACTCCTAAATCTTTTTCGACTTGGGATACTACTAGAGAGGAGTTTCCTAAGTTGTAACTGTAGTTGAATAAGGATAATGTACAAATGGTTGTGGAAGAAACAGAAGAAGCTTTCGATTAACGGGCTTCCGTGTCTAGTAGCAGTGGATCGCAAATACACAGACAAACATAACTTACACTTAAATACATCGACTAATTGAAACACTGTCTCTAATTCGCTTGCGCCTTCAATAGTTTTATAGTTGGGAGGAATGTATACATGACCTGAATGGTTACCAACGATTAAGAGAAGTAAAAATTTCATAAGCTCCGATGAAATGCACTCATTACATTCACCAACGAAGTAGAAGAAATCGTAGTGAACGCTGGAGGCATTTATTTGTTGCTTCCAAATCTACAATCGTGTTAAGAAAACCTACAACGCGCAGGACTTGTTAAGTAACCGTTCGGATATATGTGGGCAACAAGTCCAAGTATCATTGTTATCAATCTAAATCCTGAGTAGCCTCGCGTGGTGAAGAGTATTCCATAAAAATCTTTAAGATGGTTCACAGCCATCCGTGTTTTTTTCAAAATTTACTATATGTGATCCGTTTGGCAGACGATTATTTGGTGACGAGAAGGAAAACTTGCCACCTTCATTGTAACAAATGCCCTCATTAGATAATGTGATGAAATGTGTGAAGGATGAGTTTAACAGAAAAACCACCACTTGTGTCGTAAATAACGAGGATTCTAGAATCGTTAACAGCGTGTAAGCTGGTTACTCTCGATACGACAAAGTCAGTTTTTTCACATCACAGTGTGGTGTAGGAGAGTTGTGTGCATATGAAGCCCCAATTAGATACTGTTTTGCAAGCGAACAAGAGATTAAAGCGTATAGAAGGTGTCCTGAAGTTGTATTTATCATTTAGCATAACACGAACACGACAAGATTGTAATGTGTCCTTCTCGTGTATTCAAGGCCATTCGTATGGAAATTAATTGAAAATGAAATGCGTGCTTATTCAGGCCCACACACTGTCGCCAAAGGTATATGTTCGTCAACTGGTGCAAACGGAAAACTCCAAGCAGTACAGTTCATTTTTAGTTTATTGTAAAGCCTTAGACACTACTCGTCTGTAGTTTTACACATACATATGTATTTTGTCACAGGATTCAAACATATGCTGGATCATCCGTTAGCACTCGTGGAGTGCAGCCAACGGTGATTATGGTGCAGCTCTTAGGAGTCAAATAAAGTACGATCCTTTTAGACGTTGCATCAGATGGGCAGAAACCCTTGATAGAACTGAATTCAGGGATGTCCTGTTTGCCCTAAAGAAATTCTGGACGACCTTCGACGTGCCTTCATCTTGTGACTTGATGAGAGCCCTCTTGAAAGCATTAATAAACACTCAGCCTGACCTTTTGACTAGGGATAGTAGGGTGGTGACTGAACGTATATATGAGCGTTTCCTGGGTAGAAGTTCAAGAGGATTTCCAACGTAAACTGAGGTCCTTTGACTTTATTTACTGTTTCCGAAAAAAACGAATTCCCTAGAAAGCCTATTTGGCACCTTAGTTCGTGATGTCGCTGAGGTTATAGGAACTAAGTAAATCTCCATCCATTATTTCAATGATTTGATGATTGATTGGTCCAGTGAAATCATCATGAACACAGGATCATGATTTTTCTATATTTATCCGCGGGGGTATCTGTACTTTCGATGGCGATTTTATGGCTTGAGCACACAGTGGACACTTCCCAACCGAACTTTCAATGTCCTTATCAATCAATACCCAGTACATGTAGCTGCGTAACAGTGACTTCATGTGCTACATACCAGAGTGATTTTAGTGGAGTTGTTTTAACACTCTCCATAAGAGGGTTGTTAGGATGACCAGATGTTCCTTAATGATCAAACATGAAATTACAAGAAACGGTGCTTCACTTAGTGGGAAATACTCTATCAATTCATCATCAACTTAGTTTGCTCAAGCATTATAAAAATAGTTCACACCTTGTCGAGGTTCGCAATCAGATTCATAATCCGCTCCTAGCCATTACAGGATTACTGTCTGTCATGAGACAACCGTATTATTAAGCGGTGAAATTAGAGGCGAATTCGGTGAAGAGAAAGAACTAGTAACAAACAGAAAGATAGCAGATCACTGAGATTGTGAAACAGAGGAACAAGTGTGTCGGAGCGCCTTTTGCAATGGATCAGCTTCACTGAATTGATCGAACATCGAAGCGAAACAGCCCATCAACAGCAGAGGTAGTAACAGTATCAAATGTGATAGGAAAAATTAGGCATTCAAGATACGACTCTAAACGAAAACAAATTAGTGAGACAAGCACAAAAAACGTTATGAGGAAATTAGAATCTCAGGATTTGTAGGAAGACGAAGAATGGATGCACCTGCGCCACTGCAGACGATTTTGATTTACGCCATTCAAAGTCTCTAACCGTTAGCTACGATAATCACGGGGATCACAACTCGATGGTCCGTACCTATTACCATGGCTATGTCCAGTTTTCAGTGACTTCACGAACTGATGCCATTATAGATCACCAAGGTAGATGATCTATGTCTAAATGATTGGAGGCCTCCTCGATTTAGACGTGAATGGTGTGACGAACCAACTAATGTCGAAGTCACACCTCGTGGTCAGCACCTTACGTAGACTACCCCACTGACGTATCAAGGTACTATAGATGCTTTGAACACTGTACAACACAAAGGACGCTATTACAGAAATATATTAGTTAAAGTAGATACAAGCGAAAGTAAGACCACTGCCGAATGGGCCAGTCCATGGCATACGATTAACTAATGCGCGTTGGTTGTACATGACCTTGGCAGGGAGCGATTATCTGTTCGACATTCAGTGAGCCAACTGCCGGATGATTTGGCTAGGGCTCAGTGACATTTCACTGGCCCTACACCATGTTCTGGTGTGGTCGCCCCTAACAGTTTGGAACATCATTCAGCACATGGCTATCGCGCCAGTATTATCTGACCCACACGTAATCATAGGCACTCTCTCAAGTTATGTTGTTCGTCGCCTCACGCTATTATTTGCTACCACCTCTTTTTATTATGTCTTCGATCTGATAAATATGCAGCTGATTTTATCAGACACATGATAGACATGCTTGTAGCTCGATGTGTCCTTTTTATCATACCGTATAAATTCCAATATACTTGAATGACGTAGGTCCGATAACTTCTGAAACTCTCATACATAAGCACACACATCGGGTAGCCTGAGCTCTAAGGTGAGCCCCGAATATAGAACGAAGAATCGGTCAGATATAAGAGAGCGACTGACCGCTAAGGTTGGTTAGCGGGTTTTCTCCCGCTATTGAGCAACACTATGAGGAGGCCTTAAGTCTATCTTCGCTGAGCTACTGACCAAATATTGTTTGACCTTGATCACAACCACAGGTTCAAAGCTTTTGTGGTTGTTGATCTCTTCCCTTGGGAATAGGGCATGGTGGCGGAAGTATATCAAATTTCTCAAGAATAAGTGTCTCCTCGAAAATTCGGAACTGTGACGCTAAATAAAACTGAATTCTTCAGCTTTACATGGTATGAAATGACAGTTTGCAAGGACTATTCATATTTATACATGCTCTATGTAGCCAAAATAGACGACCGGATGTGTTTATAACTGTTAACCTAATAAAATTTCAATAAGTGTATGTTCCATGTATAGTGCTACAAAAGTTTTACTCCTAAAAACTCCCAGCGTTTTCAGCTATTGGCGTCATGTACATTTACAAGCCAATCTTTATACCGCTAACCTGATTCCATCTCAAACGTTCTCATAAATCTTTTTCACCTTCGGTATAGATAACATTTATATACCTCGGTTTTTGATACTCAAACTATAGTTGGTTTCGATTTACGAAGTGTAATCACGCTGATATTGGCTCTAAGATTAGATAATATTTAAATATCTCGGTTTTTAATACTCCACGAACCATAGTTAGCTTTAATACCTAAAGTGGCATCACGCTGATATAGGCCTTAAATTGCTTTAGATACTTATTCTCAGTATCTTCCCTAGTGACTCTAAAATCAACTTCTAGTATCTCAGCCTCTGAATCTATACTGTTAAAAATAACACTTGTTTAGCAGTCCTTGGCTTTTATTTCGATGGATCCCCCGAAATC